CTACTGAAGAGGTGTGATTCAGCCTTAAGTCCATTTATGATTCAGGGGTTGAGATCATAAACCCACTGGGTAGGATTGCCAGAGGTGGCTTGGCAGGCACCAGACCTGTTGAGGGGCACAAGTCCCCAGTATCAAGCCCCAAGGGAGATTGGTCTATTAGTTTTGTTGAGCCTGCCATGAAGATGTCGTCCTGGGAGAGGTTTAATTCAGGGGTCTGGACTGTCTCTTTTGTCTGTACTACCTGGGGAAATCTCCCTTTTTTTTGTCCTGGAGTGAGCTGCAGGAGGCAGTATTTTATAGAAGTTATAGAAATGTAGGTCTGAAAGGGACTTCAGTAGGCCATCTAGTCCAGTCCCCTGCAATCATGGCAGGATTAAGTATTATCTCTACCAGGGTGGCCAAACGTATTGACCCTCTGAGGTGCATATGACAAACTTCTGCAGTTCAAGAGCTGAACCATGCCTGCCAGGGCTCACAATTTCAGCCCGGTGGAATTTGCCTGCTGGTATCTGGGTCTTCAGCTATGCAGGAGGTGTCTGCTAGGGCTTGGAGCTTCTACCTCATGTCATGGTGGTGAGGCTAGGGGGCTTCAGCCTGGCAGGGAGGGGGCTCCTCAAACTTTCAGCACATGAAAGGCTCCTGTGGGGACTTAGGCTTCAGCCCATCTGGCATGCCCCCCCCACAGGCTTGAAAACCTGAGCCTTGGCAGGCACTCTCCATGGGGTTCAAAACTAGAGACTAGGAATCACATGTCCCTCCCCCAAGATTTTTGCCAGGGTTTGCTGGCCCCATCTGGTCACATGGTACCGCCAGACACTCCTTCTGCATGGCAGATGCTGGAGCTGGCACGCTGGGAGCAGTGGGCAGTGGCAAACAGCTGGGAGCTGCAGAGTTGAAGGAGTGTCCCCTCCTGGCAGCTTCCAGCTTGCCATTTCCTCCCCCCTCCCCAGCTGGTTCCCAGTTCCACTCATTTCAGGTATGGGCTCCCAGTCCCAGGCTTCTTCTCCAACCAGCCTCAGCCTTTTCCCTGTCAGCTCCCAGTCCTGCCTTCCCCTTGATCTCAATCCCAAACTCCTTGCCAACCTGTATCAACCCTCCATATAGCCCCGCCCTTGTTTCTAGTTGTAGTTTCCTTATCCATCTAATCCTAATTTGCACCCTGTCCTAGTACGAGTCTCCGTATCTATCAAAGACTAACCCCTCCCAACTCCTAGTCATAATTTCTCTCCCTGCAATCCCATTCTTGTTCCAGTCTCACTAGTTTCTTGTTGCAATCTACTCCTTTTCCTTCTGCAGCTTTTGTTCCCTCTGCACTTGAGTCAGACATCTTCCTCCTCCATGATGCTTTCTCTCCAGCAGGGGAATAGGTCAGTAAGAGCACAGGAGAGGCAAGTTTCCTATTCTTAGTTCTGTAGCCTGCAGCAGCTAGGATAAAGTGACCAGATATCCCAATTTTATAGAGACAGTCCCAATGTTCTGGCTTTTTTCTTATATTAGCATCTATTGCCTCCCATGCCCTGTCTTGATTTTTCACACTTTCAATCTGGTCACCCTAAGCCAGGAGCAGCAATGACAAACAAATTTTGTCTGTGCCCCTGCAACTCTGAGCTCAGTTGTACTGTGGGGATGGCACACATGCAGTCTGTTCAGCTGTGAGAGTTGTGAGGGGATGAAATATGCTCAGGAAGGTTGAATCTTCAACAATTTTAGCTGATAAACTCTAAAAAGTGTTTACTGAGCAGGGCCAAAGTTAGATGGATTTTCCTGGGGATGGCAAACCACACATCTGACACAAAAACTGCCTTCCCGACAAATGTTAAGTCCCTGCTCCAAAGCATTGAAGCTTCTTGAAGAAACTCACCAGAAAGTTTTCAACATTTCAGAGCACAGTCCTCTAATAATATTCTCAGAAACAGCTTACTTGTTTTGTTTAAAACTTTTCAAAATGCTTCAGCCAGTGGCAGACACCTGAGTTGTAAAATTTCAGCCTAAAGTTTGGTGACTTTTTGTGCAATTGTAAAGAGAGGAAGAATCACCATCTTAATAATATGTGGTACTATCAGCCATGCCTATAATAAATGTGCAAATATAGTAATTGAATGTATTATTTGGAAAAAAATGACAATAAGAGGTTAACAGTCCTGAGGAATGAAATTGCTAGTTTATCCACAGAACTGATAGAGCTTTTGTAGCAGCAGTGTAAATTTTCCAATACTGTTCCATCAAGGTGCCCAAACTTTCAATGGTCCTTTTATGGATGGAGACATTTTAGGAATGAATTGCAATCTATTAACACACTTTGCCTAGACAGTCCCTGGTCTCCCTATTAAGTCTTCCCAAAGGGATGTCAGGCACAGACCTATTTTCATGAACTGAGTATCTATCTCAAACAAGGCATCCAAAATCACCAACTCATTTCAGAAGAGTGCCAGAAGGAGCTTTCAAGTCAATAATGACTTTCAGTTAGTTGGTAGATTTGTCAGATGGATGTGAAAGCGTGTCAGAGAGGTAACAAACCATTTCCTACCAAGATACTTTCCTTGAGCTGTCCCTTCCATCTTTCCTCTTGAAAACTGCAGTTCTAACCATGATGATCACACTAGAACTTGGAGCAGGGAGATGGAAGCTTAAAACCAAGACACGGATATATTGATATGTCTGTGTAATAAATCTTGTACAGCATTATTTCATGCTATGTGTAGAGGGTTTTTTCTTCACTTTGAAAAATAGCATGATCAGTAGAACAAACATCAAAGGGTCCATGTTCTCTGGAAGGACTGTTATTGATGAGACACCAGGAAAACTGGAAACACTGGGCATTGGGATGGAGGCAAAGCCAAATGACAAGAATAGACCACAGGTGGTAATAAAGTTCCACTTTCTCAGCATCACTTTCATTCAGCTTTACTCTTTGCTGATGAAATATGGTGACAGCAAGTTCTCTGAAATGCAACAGCTGGCAGCCTGAGCCATGCAACTCAGTCTGAAGCCACCTGGAACCCTGGATTTTCTAGACACAAGCTGAGCCAATGATGGACCTGGTGGAAGGAGGAGTCTGAGCTGTACACAGCACTGGCCATGCAGAAGGATAACAACAGCAGGAAAGTAAAGCTGTTATTTTCCTCAATGTGGAACAAAGCAGAGAGGTTGGTACCAGTCCACAGCTTACCACTGCCTCAAATCTCACAGCCATCACCCAGAACACTGTGGAGCCACACAGGTTTTTTCACTAGACAGCAAGTTGAAGGAGAGAGATTAGAACCCTGTTACTGCCTTATGTACACTAGTTGTTACATGCAATAGATTCCTGACTCAAGACAGGATAGTGTCTTCCCTAGAATAGCACTGCAAGGAAGGTGCAATCCTTTTAGAATCAGAGGGAGGGAAGGTATCGGAAAGATTCATTCAGATTTGAGGGGAAGGGTGTATCAGACAAGAATGGCTCTCTTCTGGAGCCTAAGAAGCATATCAGGTTCAAGCTGTTAGGCAGCAATACAACAAGCACTGTGCATGCAACAATGTTAATAGGGAAACATCCTGTGTGAATTCAGCTGGATAGTGGGGCCTCCCGCAATGCGATTCCTTTGGGTGAATTGAGTGAATTACGTTCCAGGAGGAATAACAGCTAATTTGAGTTAGGGCTTTACTTCGCAAAAGTGACTCAAACAGTGTGAGAGGACATACACTGGACATCTGTTCACAATGAAAGGACTGAAGGCAGATCCCACAAAAGTTCCAGGCAGTCAGAGACATGCCAGCTGCAATGAATGTGAAAGGGGTGATATAATTTCTGTCCAAATTGTGTTCAGACCCGGCTGCAGTGGTGGAACCCACACGTCAGTTCACATTACTGGATGCTGAGTAGTACTGGGCACTAGGCCATGGTCTACACTAGGGAGTTATTTTGAAATAATCCCCCGATTTCAAAATAATAATAGCAGCACCCCACTACCAAGCCCATTATAAGACTCAGTGCTGCAGGCTTTTTGTCTTAGTGTAGATATACCCAGAGACACCCAAAAGGAGACAAAGATATAACTCGGCCTGTAACCAGGAAGCCTTCTATTCTCTTATGACTAGAAAATGCCAAAAGTACTAGATCAGCTTTACTTACATCCTTTTGCGTATATGTTTGCTGTTTTCTGACTATCAACATGGAGCTCCCTGTGCAACCTCTCATCTTGCTTTGTTGTGGCTTAAAGGCATAATAGAAGTCATGGGTACTACAATCTTCTTATTATTATTGTTGATTATTATTGGGATTATTATTGCTCATCATCAGACTCTAGAAATGAATTAGCTTAATTTTCAAGATTAGGCTATTTCAATCTAAATAACTTATGGTATAAAACAGTTAGCTGGCTACTTGCAATAGAGTGAAATATGCAACATTTCAAATGAATGCATTTGCTGTAGTTGTGTTCTGTAACAACATTGAGAAGTACTTGTCAGTTAAAAGGGTATTTTTCCAGACAGGTTTGTAGGCACGAATGCACGATTAACTCATTAAAGCTCATTGAATCATCCATTAAAATAATGTAAGGGTATGTCTACACTACCACCCTAGTTCGAACTAGGGTGGTAATGTAGGCAACCGGAGTTGCAAACGAAGCCCGGGATTTGAATTTCCCGGGCTTCATTTGCATCTCGCCAGGCGCCGCCATTTTTAAATGTCCGCTAGTGCGGACTCCGTGCCGCATGTAGCCGCGCGGCACGGAGTCCGCACTAGCGGACATTTAAAAATGGCGGCGCCCGGCGAGATGCAAATGAAGCCCGGGAAATTCAAATCCCGGGCTTCATTTGCAACTTCCGTTGCCTACATTACCACCCTAGTTCAAACTAGGGTGGTAGTGTAGACATACCCTAAGAGACAGACGATAGACAGAGACTCTCAAATTAAATTACTCTTCTTGTAACAAAAGCAGACTTTTCTTTTACCAAAAGAGGTTTGTTTTATTTACTGAAAATCTTTCAAGTGTACACACTGAACTTTGCTCAGTTCTTCAGTATGACAGGCTTGAATTAATGGGATCAAAACATTCCCATTGTCTATAAAATGTAAAACATGTTTGTGATTGAGAGGTTTAAATATTTATCAGCATTTCTGAATCCAATAATTGTTTTCAGCATGTTATCTGCTATCATGGAAAGGGTGGATCAGAAGCCCCCAGAAAAACATCTGCAAGAGGAGCAGAAAACCTCATGTGTTTGATTTAACAATTTTTCTAAAATATTGTCCCTTGTCCGGGAGGGTTCTTAATAGGCATGAAGTAGATAGTGTTCACCCACTGTGTGTCTCCCATTTTATTGCATATTGTAAGTCACAAAAAGTCCTGTGGAATACCTAGAAAAGAAAACAAAATTCCATATGCAAATCAGCTTTGTCCCCCCCCTTTAGGTATAATCAAAATGTCTAGCTTTCCAAAACAATTCTTATTTGACAGACTTGGGGCACACCAGATATTGTCATGGTTGGAGATATAGCAGATGGTAAATGTTACTCTTATCCTGATGTAAATACCACATTTGTATTTATTTGAGGAGGAGGAGGAGGAGGAGGAGGAGGAGTAAATAACTATTATTATTAATTGTGGTAGCATTTAGGATCCACAATCACAGATCAGGATCCCAGTATCCCACTGTAAAAATGCATAACAAAACAGCAATCCATGCCTTGAAGAGTTTACAGTCTTAAGTCATCAATTTTTTTTTAATATATGCAAGTGAGTGGATGCATCAAGAGGCTCCATGGTTAATGTGTAGACGGAAACTAACAAAGAAAATCTGACATTTCTTATCTTATGTTTGAATAATTCATGTCATGCAGCTTGTATGATCTATGAAGTATCAGTTCATAAGGATCTTGAAACAAATCAAGCTTACAGCTTACCTGGGGGAAAAGACCTAAGCTGAAGTATTTTCCATATAGCGTGATGGAAATTCAGGAAGGAATTATTTACAACTACAGCACTCTGCCTCTGGTCTCATTTGTATTATCAAGACTACATCTAAATAGTCTGTAACATGCTAGATCTAGAATATGTCTTCCACTCTTTTTGGACTGAACTGCATGATTCACTCATGGCTTCATTACTTGATAATAATATAGCCAAGTTCCAAATTCATGCCTATTAAGCCTTTATACTCTGTGAGCCTCATTTATACAAATTCTTAAATATCCAAATGAATGTTATGTTCAGATAACTGAGGCTGTATACCTCAGTTGGGGTAGCTTCTCAAATATTAGACAGTTATTTGTGGTATTAGTGCAGGAGATATCATTGCCTGATTGCTGACAATTGGTGGTAATTCATTAGCTCAGACATGATTAAATAAGCCAAAAACTGTATTTTAAAAAAACATTTCAGAATATGGTCACATTTTAATATCCAAGCCTGGCTGCTAAATTTAATTTATTCATAAATGACAGTGACTACAAACTAAAGCAAAGATCTTCCTCCACTCAAGATTTAGTAAGGACAAACGTCAAGATTTTCAGAGATTCTGTAAGGATATTCTGTGTTTATGCTATAATGCAAGGGTGCATATCGAGACATCTTTGGGACAGAGGGAGCTGAGGAAACAGAGTAGTTTACTCTTTGCCTTGGTCTCTGATTACAGCCAATTTCTGAGATAGAGTTTGTCCTCAGGAGCCAGGCATTGGTGTTAGGCTGAGATACATTGAAGGAGAGTGTGATGGGATGAGGAGACCCAGTCCAATGTGAAGTGGGTTCACCCTATCCTTCGAGCTGACCTCTGTCTCTAAGCAGTGAGACCTAAGGGTTAGAGTCAACAGAGTTTCCCTGATTCTCAGGTCTGTAAGGCCTGTTGACCAGAGTCCATGTAATCACCCTGATCCATGGAGCTGTAGAGTGTCATGACCTACATCAAGGGGGTAGCCCTTCTCTGCAGGGCAATGGGGCCTAGCAGACAGAGACCATAGCAATACCTGGGGTTGGAAGGGTAGCAAGACCTGGTGGCCAGAATCAACAGAGATACCCTGGGGTTTGTAGGGCAGTAAGGCCTGGGAGTCAGAGTCAACAGAATTGTCCTCTGGAGCAGCACTGTATGGCCTAGCAGCTGGAGACAATAGAGTTCCCCTTCAGGTGGGGCAGTGGGGCTTAGTGCCAGTCGGGGTGTGTGGGCCATCACCTAAGGGCTGTGTGACTAAGTTAGGGAGACCTAGCCCTCCCTGATCTACTCGATCCCAGTCCAGGACTCTATTAGGGTTGAGGGTGCCTACCATTGAGTCAGCAGGGATCCATCTGCAACAGACTGACTATCATAAGGACAAAGGTTAGTCCATCTCCTCATTCTCAGCTTTGTCCTGCTGTGGGACTCCTGGTGGTAGTTTGTCCATCTTCTGGGTCTCCAGATTCCTCAGCTGGTACAAATCCCAGAAGCTCAGACATCCCTGGGGTGTCCACAAGTAACTGGACATCTGTCTGGGTCTTAGCACCACTATGTGCCTCAGTCCAGTGTTCCAACTGTTCCCGGATGGGAGCCATCAGGAAGCATCCTTCCTCTCTGGCAGTCAGCCCAGACTGAGCTCGCTCTTACACTGGTGCCACACCTGAAGCATGCCCAGTTGGGCTATGGGAGTGTTGCTTCTTCTGGTCCCGGTGAGGAGTTAACCCTTTCCTGTCCAGTGTGGAGTGAGTTCAACCTGTCAGAAAGGGATGTGTCTCAAAGCTGTTTTTGGCCACCACATTTTACAACTGGTTATATATACCTATAATGTACCTGTAGTATATCCCCATTGCTGAGCACTGTATTTGCCTCTGCTGAAAAGCGCAAGCAGGCGGGGGGAGGGGGAGGGTAGAGCTGGTCTCAAAATGGGATACTGGTAGCTGACAAAGTGGGGGACAGTAGTTTAGAAAATTTCAGCTGCTTCCAGGAAAGTGCGGGAACACAGCAAGCACAGTCTTTTCATTCTTTGTCAGGTTCCATCCAACCCAAGGTATTCAGATGTCTTCATTTCTTTTATTTTTTCCAAAGACTTAGTTTTTCTCCTGAGACCATGTAATAAAAGAGCTGCACAAAGGATTGTTGGGAAGACACTTTTCTTTATTTCCTGGACCCTGTCTTATGACAAGGGGAAAGTTATACTCCATTACCTGTCAGAGATCTGTCCCCACAGATGCCAGTTAGAAGACTGTTTAGGAATGGATAGCTAGTCCTAGGCTATAATCATTTACAAAACCCAATTCTATCATTACCATTTCCATTTAGGATATAGGGTTTCCTATTAATGCTGGGCAGCCCCAACAGTAAAAGTATTGTTGAAGGATCTCTTTTGTCCCTCAGTCATTAATGGAACAAATGAAACTTACAATATTTCTATATTTGTAGTAGGAGAAAAAGATACCTGGTGAAAAGAACAAAAATATTCTTCATTCCAGTTGCATTCATTTATAGCAAGAAAAAGTAATTATTCTTCAAGCATTATTATACATAGCATATATCATGCCAAAAATGAAATTTTTAAAGGACGATATTCTAAATTGAATTAAACTTTAATTAATTTAGAAATTAAAACAACTTTCCTATCTTTAGTACCACTCATCTGAAGGGAACAATCCACAACAGGTTCAATAAGAAGTACTTAGATAACACAGTCACAGAAATGGTAAAAGGACTCCTTTGAAAAAGAAAGTTGTGTCCTCTACGATTGATGAAGTAGCTGCAAAGGAGACAGAAAAAAGTTCTTGTTAACAAAGAAGAAGTTGTCTGGCTTATGGAATGACACTATTTTATGAAAAATCTGTAACATTTTCACACACACACACACACACACACACACACACACACACACCTTACAGCTTTTTCATAAAATAAACATATGTGTGTATAATATGTGTGTATATATATTATATATACACACACACACACATTCTGAATATGGTCACAAAACATTAGAAATATTCCACAAAAGATACACAATATTGTAAAGAGTTGATAAATATTCATAGTACTTGGGAAGAAGAAAACTAAGTCTTTTTTTTTAATAAGATAAGTTCATTTTAATGGTAGCTTGCTAGCTTAAATATTTATAGAATGTAATTTCTTGCCTCATTAGTAGAGCTGGGAACACTAGTCATAGTGCACAATTCATCTAATGAAATTACTTCTTTCTTCTGTCTGAGAATTACCCACAGACTTTGAGCCTTGTTTTCCTCTGCCTTGCACCCTATGTGGTCATTTACACCTGAGCAAGCCAGGCATATGATGCTGGAATGTTTGCAATCAAATCACAGAGTTAAAAATAAATAAATTCATTGAATGAACCTGAATGACAAAAGAACACAAGGGATTTATGATCTACTTCCAGACATCTAATGAATAGAAGATGAGGCCAAATTCATTGAGTAAATGTGTTTGTCTCCACTTCTTACATGTTATTCCTACTGAATTCATATTGCTTCCTACTCCCATACATAGCTAAATAATTATTAGGTTGGCAAGCTGACATTTCTATTCCCATTATCCTTAAAATTATCCTGTCTTATAATCAGCAATTCTATTTGGCCCAGCTATTACCAGAGGTTATATAGACCTTATATTTATCCATCATGAACTACATTTTAAAACTGCATGATTGAAAAGCCTCTGTACTGTAGATTTGGTAAAATTAAATTATAATACTACTGTAAATCATAAATATTTGGTATGAAAGAGCACTACTATCTTATTACCTGCTGGTGTTTATGTACTTTTAAACACACTTTTCTAAATGTAATATGAATACAGTCTAGGAGGTGAACATTTAATGTCTAAGTTTATTATGAAGAGCAAAATATGCAACAATATATTATCTGTAAAATCTCTGTGCTGTAAATATAATTGCTATCTAGCAGCAGTAATAAGATTTTAGTTAATAGTACTCAGAATGCATGCATGTTGAGAATAATGAATGGTGAGAAAACAATTCTAGACAGTGAGAAACCGTCAATCAAGTTCTAATCTATAAATAGGATTATTATAATATTCAGTGGGAAATTTTCCTGAAGTGGCATCATCTTGATGAAAAATTTACACTTTCTAAATAATAAACATACAAATATCTGAGCATAAAAGATATTATAGGTACTATACAGATACAATATACAGAAAGATATGAAGTGTGTATGTGTGTGTGTCACTCATGTAATAGTGTGTCTGTATAAATACAATCCTTTTGAGAGAGAGAGAGAGAGAGAGAGAGAGAGAGAGAGAGAGAGAGAGATGTTTCCATTTAACCACCTCACTTGCATTCTGCTTACAAATTCATTTTACCATGAAACTTATTCTAATAGTCAAAACATTTGAGTGTGTAAAAAATATCTGCCATAATTTCTCCAAATGTTGCCAAGTTCCTCCGGGAATTACAGTTGTTTTAAGCCCAGGGCAGAAAGTATTCACTATTTCCATAATAATATCTCATGGCCCTGAAGAGCTAGAAATGGGAGCATTTTGCCATTACAAAGTTGGGATCCCCTGCTTTCAAAGAGGACATAGAATACTAGCTTCTAGCTGCTGTAAGTTCCATAATATCAGGCTTTAAAGCTATGACATTCCCATGCACAGAAAAACTATTTTAGGTAAATTTTAAATATGAATTAAATGTGCTTGTCCAATTTACTTTTCCTCTGGGACCTGTACATGTGGAAGCATGCTAATACAGTAGGCTTTTCAGGTACATGGGGAGCAAGAAATAGGTCCAATAAAATTGTCAAATGTCTTAATACATCATAAAACAGTTTTTTCTTTCAAACATTTCTTTTTATCCAGAGGCCATGCAACATAGTTACAATTGTACTATAATCCCAGTGACAATCCTGATTCAAGAACACATCTCTATTAAAGAAATAATTTAACCATGTGCTTACGCTTAAAATATTTGGTCTGGATGGCTCAATGGGAGATTAAGAAAGGGATATAAAACCTTTCCCTTTATTCACCAGTTCAAATCCAACCAAGTTTAAATAACTAAGGGTACATCTACACTACAACGTTAATTCGAACTAACGGAGCGCTTAGTTCGAACTAGGTAAACCTCATTTTACGAGGCATAACGCCTTCTGTCGACAGAACTCTGTCGACAGAAGGCGTTATGCCTCGTAAAATGAGGTTTACCTAGTTCGAACTAGGTAAACCTCATTTTACGAGGCATAACGCCTTCTGTCGACAGAACTCTGTCGACAGAAGGCGTTATGCCTCGTAAAATGAGGTTTACCTAGTTCGAACTAGGTAAACCTCATTTTACGAGGCATAACGCCTTCTGTCGACAGAACTCTGTCGACAGAAGGCGTTATGCCTCGTAAAATGAGGTTTACCTAGTTCGAACTAGGTAAACCTCATTTTACGAGGCATAACGCCTTCTGTCGACAGAACTCTGTCGACAGAAGGCGTTATGCCTCGTAAAATGAGGTTTACCTAGTTCGAACTAGGTAAACCTCATTTTACGAGGCATAACGCCTTCTGTCGACAGAACTCTGTCGACAGAAGGCGTTATGCCTCGTAAAATGAGGTTTACCTAGTTCGAACTAGGTAAACCTCATTTTACGAGGCATAACGCCTTCTGTCGACAGAACTCTGTCGACAGAAGGCGTTATGCCTCGTAAAATGAGGTTTACCTAGTTCGAACTAGGTAAACCTCATTTTACGAGGCATAACGCCTTCTGTCGACAGAACTCTGTCGACAGAAGGCGTTATGCCTCGTAAAATGAGGTTTACCTAGTTCGAACTAGGTAAACCTCATTTTACGAGGCATAACGCCTTCTGTCGACAGAACTCTGTCGACAGAAGGCGTTATGCCTCGTAAAATGAGGTTTACCTAGTTCGAACTAGGTAAACCTCATTTTACGAGGCATAACGCCTTCTGTCGACAGAACTCTGTCGACAGAAGGCGTTATGCCTCGTAAAATGAGGTTTACCTAGTTCGAACTAGGTAAACCTCATTTTACGAGGCATAACGCCTTCTGTCGACAGAACTCTGTCGACAGAAGGCGTTATGCCTCGTAAAATGAGGTTTACCTAGTTCGAACTAGGTAAACCTCATTTTACGAGGCATAACGCCTTCTGTCGACAGAACTCTGTCGACAGAAGGCGTTATGCCTCGTAAAATGAGGTTTACCTAGTTCGAACTAGGTAAACCTCATTTTACGAGGCATAACGCCTTCTGTCGACAGAACTCTGTCGACAGAAGGCGTTATGCCTCGTAAAATGAGGTTTACCTAGTTCGAACTAGGTAAACCTCATTTTACGAGGCATAACGCCTTCTGTCGACAGAACTCTGTCGACAGAAGGCGTTATGCCTCGTAAAATGAGGTTTACCTAGTTCGAACTAGGTAAACCTCATTTTACGAGGCATAACGCCTTCTGTCGACAGAACTCTGTCGACAGAAGGCGTTATGCCTCGTAAAATGAGGTTTACCTAGTTCGAACTAGGTAAACCTCATTTTACGAGGCATAACGCCTTCTGTCGACAGAACTCTGTCGACAGAAGGCGTTATGCCTCGTAAAATGAGGTTTACCTAGTTCGAACTAGGTAAACCTCATTTTACGAGGCATAACGCCTTCTGTCGACAGAACTCTGTCGACAGAAGGCGTTATGCCTCGTAAAATGAGGTTTACCTAGTTCGAACTAGGTAAACCTCATTTTACGAGGCATAACGCCTTCTGTCGACAGAACTCTGTCGACAGAAGGCGTTATGCCTCGTAAAATGAGGTTTACCTAGTTCGAACTAGGTAAACCTCATTTTACGAGGCATAACGCCTTCTGTCGACAGAACTCTGTCGACAGAAGGCGTTATGCCTCGTAAAATGAGGTTTACCTAGTTCGAACTAGGTAAACCTCATTTTACGAGGCATAACGCCTTCTGTCGACAGAACTCTGTCGACAGAAGGCGTTATGCCTCGTAAAATGAGGTTTACCTAGTTCGAACTAGGTAAACCTCATTTTACGAGGCATAACGCCTTCTGTCGACAGAACTCTGTCGACAGAAGGCGTTATGCCTCGTAAAATGAGGTTTACCTAGTTCGAACTAGGTAAACCTCATTTTACGAGGCATAACGCCTTCTGTCGACAGAACTCTGTCGACAGAAGGCGTTATGCCTCGTAAAATGAGGTTTACCTAGTTCGAACTAGGTAAACCTCATTTTACGAGGCATAACGCCTTCTGTCGACAGAACTCTGTCGACAGAAGGCGTTATGCCTCGTAAAATGAGGTTTACCTAGTTCGAACTAGGTAAACCTCATTTTACGAGGCATAACGCCTTCTGTCGACAGAACTCTGTCGACAGAAGGCGTTATGCCTCGTAAAATGAGGTTTACCTAGTTCGAACTAGGTAAACCTCATTTTACGAGGCATAACGCCTTCTGTCGACAGAACTCTGTCGACAGAAGGCGTTATGCCTCGTAAAATGAGGTTTACCTAGTTCGAACTAGGTAAACCTCATTTTACGAGGATTAAGCCTAGTTCGAACTATCTAGTTCGAACTAAGCGCTCCGTTAGTTCGAATTAGCTTACTTCGAATTAACTAATTCGAACTAAGGTAGTTCGAATTAACGTTGTAGTGTAGATATACCCTAAGGCTCCAATTGGGCTAACACTTATAATACATGTGCTTAATTTTATTATTATGAGTACATCATAATAGAACTACTTATGGTAATAAAATTGAGCACATACAAAAGTATTT